AAACTTTCATATATTTCAGATTCATTGCACACCAACTGAAATATTTCAGGTCTTTAATTGTTTTAATACTGATGATTATGGCATACAGCTCATGAAAACCCAAAATGCCTTTCCCAAAAAATTAGCATATCATGAAAAGGTTCTCTAAACAAGCTATTAACCTAACCATCTGAATCAACGACGTAACTAAACACCTGCAAAAGATTCCTGAGGCTTTTAAAAACTCCCAGCCTTGTTCATTACTCAAAACCGCAATCATGGGTAAGACTGCCAACCTGACTGCTGTCCAGAAGGCCATCATTGACACCCTCAAGCAAGAGGGTAAGACACAAAAAGAAATTGCTGAACGAATAGGCTGTTCCCAGAGTGCTGTATCAAGGCACCTCAGTGGGAAGTCTGTGGGAAGGGAAAAGTGGCAGAAAACGCTGCACAACGAGAAGAGGTGACCGGACCCAGAGGAGGATTGTGGAGAAGGGCCGATTCCAGAGCCACCGTGCACAGGCGTGTGCAGGAAATGGGCTACAGGTGCCGCATTCCCCAGGTCAAGCCACTTTTGAACCAGAAACAGCGGCAGAAGCGCCTGAGCTGGGCTACAGAGAAGCAGCACTGGACTGTTGCTCAGTGGTCCAAAGTACTTTTTTCGGATGAAAGCAAATTTTGCTTGTCATTCGGAAATCAACGTGCCAGAGTCTGGAGGAAGACTGGGGAGAAGGAAATGCCAAAATGCCAGAAGTCCAGTGTGAAGCACCCACAGTCAGTGATGGTCTGGGGTGTCATGTCAGCTGCTGGTGTTGGTCCACTATGTTTTATCAAGGGCAGGGTCAATGCAGCTAGCTATCAGGAGATTTTGGAGCACTTCATGCTTCCATCTGCTGAAAAGCTTTATGGAGATGAAGATTTCATTTTTCAGCACGACCTGGTACCTGCTCACAGTGCCAAAACCACTGGTAAATGGTTTAATGACCATGGTATTACTGTGCTCAATTGGCCTGCCAACTCTCCTGACCTGAACCTCATAGAGAACCTGTGGGATATTGTGAAGAGAAAGTTGAGAAACGCAAGACCCAACACTCTGGATGAGCTTAAGGCCGCTATCGAAGCATCCTGGGCCTCCATAACACCTCAGCAGTGCCACAGGCTGATTGCCTCCATGCCACGCCGCATTGAAGCAGTCATTCATGCAAAAGGATTCCCGATCAAGTATTGAGTGCATAACTGAACATGATTATTTGAAGGTTGGCGTTTTTTGTATTAAAAACACTTGTCTTTCATTGGTGGGATGAAATATGCTAATTTTTTGGGACAGGCATTTTGGGTTTTCATGATCATAATCATCAGTATTAAAACAATTAAAGACCTGAAATATTTCAGTTGGTGTGCAATGAATCTGAAATATATGAAAGTTAAATTTTTTATCATTACATTATGGAAAATAATGACCTTTATCACAATATGCTAATTTTTTGAGAAGGACCTGTATAAAACACATAGAAGCGGCTTCTCATCTTGTCTCTCAACCACCGTCACCTCTGCAAATAGCGTGCGCGTTCACAAGTGCGTCGCGCGTTCACGCTGTTTTGCTGTCACGAGCACTATCCGAGCGGTGAGCTGGACGTTTCAGTGGATACCATTTATTTTTTTGCCAAGTTTGTGAAACAAAGGCAGCGCTGCTAATTTCTACCGTTGGCTGGCAGGTCAGACTCCGCTGTTGCTCCGGGCACTCTGTCCTCCGTTAACTGAGTGGTAATGCTAGCAAGCTAGCTAGCTTAGCTGTTAGGATAGCTAAACGGTGCGTGACTCGAAGTAACTTCTCGTAAGATTAACGGACAGCATTCTAATTAACGCATTTCACTGCACTTGTCTTGAAGACATCCAAACATTGGCGTGGGTGTTTTTAACTTTGACGATACACCACCGCAGATGTTACGCGCCGCTAGCAAGGAAAGGATTGAATGAAATAACGTTAGCTTGCCGTAGCAGCGGAAACGAGCCAGCTACCACTGATAACTTCTGCTGCTGCGGGTTTTCTTCCACCATCCAGCGGATCTAGCCAATGCTAGCAGGGCCACTCAAACACCAGTAGAAAGCGACTTTAGCTCGACAACTTCCAGTCATTCACAAAGCTGTACCGAGCAGGTGTCTGTGCTGAGTCCGGTGTGGACAGCTGCCCAGAGTCGGGTCGTTTGGACGTTGAAGGCCGGAGTCTGAGGACGGAGAGCTGCAAACATGCCGGCGGTGTCGAAAGGAGACGGGATGCGGGGATTAGCGGTTTTCATTTCGGACATAAGAAACTGTAAGTGACTTTATTTAGACTGCATATTGCTGCTGAGTTGTTTAGTTTAAAGGTTTAAGTCGGTGACCAATGTACTAACGAGGTGAAATGACGTGCTGGGGCAAATCTGTAGTCTCAATATTTTAATTCGCTTTTCAAAAGGTTTTGATTTGAACATTTTAAGAACTTTCAAAAGAAACCAAGTTCATGGATACGAGTTTTATATTGAACAATGCGAAAAGACAAATATTGGCATACATTTAGCATATTTTGTAAGACGCTATGAAACTTTCATCTAGTCCTTTGATAAATGCTCAGCTTTTTCAATGCGTTAGTACAGATTGTCATGAAAGTTGTTTGGAATGTAGAAGAATTTATGCTATATTTATTTATTGCGTTTTAATGAATCCTATTTGTCTGTGACTTTTTATGACTGGAATCTGAACCAAATGTGTGAACTCACCTGTCCCAGTGATTATAGTACACCTGTGCTGTGTACTGACCGTCCTCAGTTTCTAATTATCTGCATCGAAAACAACTCCCATCAGTCGACCTCTACATTGTGGCTTAAACAACAACATGACAAATATCCATCCATCCATCCATCCATCCATCCATCCATCCATCCATCCATTTTCTTTACCCGCTTATTCCATTTTGGGTCACGGGGGGGCCGCTGGTGCCCATGTCCAGCAATCACTGTGCGAGGGGCGGGGTACACCCTGGACAGGTCACAAGTCCACCACAGGGCCACATAGAGACAAACGAGACAAACGACCATTCTCTCTCTCATTCACACCTAGGGACAATTTAGAGTTACCAATCAGCCTAACATGCATGTTTTTGGTCTGTGGGAGGAAACCGGAGGACCCGGAGAAAACCCACGCATGCACGGAGAGAACATGCAAACTCCACCCAGAAAGGCCCCTGGACCGGGGTTTGAACCAGGGACCTGCTCGCTGAGAGGCAGCAGCTCTATCAGTTGTGCCACCGTGCTGCCCCTATGATAAATATCATCAGTGCCTATCCATTATTCCAACAAACTAGTAAAAAAAAAAACAAAAAAAAAAAACTGACTGGAAACACATAAACGAAAGGAAATGTTTGGACCAGAGCTGGCAGCTGAGTCGGCTCATTCCTATCTGGATCTGCTTAAAGTGGACTTGTGCTCGAATATTATGGTCCTGATGGTTGAAGACTCCAGGATTTTTTGCTTGTTTGGACTAAATGAGTCCTTTGAATTTAAAAGTAGGTGTAACTATCCTGAGCTCAGTGGGTCATTAGAAAAAAGGCACCATCCTTATGAATTAGTTTTAAAAAGATTTTCTTGGAAGTTTTCATTAGTTTGCTGCTTCACTCTTTTAATCTGGTAAATAATGTCTTCACACAGCAGCAGCATCAACTACAGATTGTTGGTCTCATCAGACCAAATCTGGTCCTCCTGTGAAAGACTCAATCTATTGACGTTTATTTAAAAAAAACAAAAAAAAAACAAGTAAAGGGACGAAAGCCTTCACTGAGTATTTAATCATAGACAAATACAGAATAACAAGAATCACATTGTGGAAACAATCCCAAAACTTGCTGAGTTTTATTAATAAAAAATATTGTTTTGGCTAAGTTAAACATTCAGTTTAGTTAAATTCAAATGTAGCTGTGCTATTTCACACTCACTTTTGCACACACTCACTTTTGCACCTGATGCCCTTGAAGTTTTCCTTTTTTATCCAGTAATAATGCAACTGTACTTGAAAATCCATCTTTTGTTTTGTTTAAACCTTGATTAGATGTAACGTGTGACATTAGGTCAACGGTCCTTGGCTGATGGACACAACCTCCTGGAGAAATCTGTCCTTGTTATCTGAGTAGCTCTAAACTCCTGCTTCAAGCACTGTCTTGATTTGGCATCTAAGACCTGCTTATGTCCAACCAATCCTAATTCAGCTGTTTATATGATCTAAATCTAAACTAGTTATAAAAGCTAAAAAACAAGATCATCTTCACACTCGTTTGTTCTCGTTTAGTGTTATTTAAAATTTGTGTGTGAAGTAAATCGGATGAATTCAGACCTTCTAGTTCCACTCAGGTTGACTTTACTGTCCCATTTTACAGCTGCAAAACTGTGAGATTTCAGTGTTGGTAAGCTGATTAAGGGCTTATAAATATGTTGTGACAACACTGACACTAATGTGCTGACTTGTATCCTCTAACAGTTGTTTGTAAAACTGGTGGTGGGATCTCACCGGGCTGTGATTGTTAGGAGAGTAGGTGCAGCGTTTCCCTTACCATTATACAAGTGGGGTGCCCCACCCCGTCAACAGAACTGAGCACTCCGCCTACCAAACCAAACTTGCCCCCCCCACCCGGCACTGACATAGCACTGAGCTAGCGGCGCAAAATACAGGCTGTCTAGCTAAAAAGCTAAAGGTGCCTCTTCCTTCATGCTGAACTGGTCCCGCCCACACTCAAAAACTGTTGGTACAAGCTTCGCTCAGACATGTCTCCGTCCCTCCCCATCAACAAAAATCATGGATAAGATGACTACCCCGCCATGGCAAGTTAACAAGGGGAAACACTGAGGTGTGACTGAAACTTGTAAGAAAAAGTTGTTTTCCTTTTTTGGTCTCACTGAACGGGACCTGGGCAGCTAAGTGTTGAGCAGTCAGTTTTTGCAAACCATGGCTTGTTTTTGTGTTCACGGTAGGAATGTGCGATGTGGCATAAAATTCATATCACAATATGTATTGTGAAGGGTGGCAATAACGATATCGCAATATGTTTTGGGTGTAAAACTTAATAGGAATTTTTTTAAAAGCATAGGGTGTCCTTTTGCTATCATATATTTTGAATTAAAAAAATTCCACTACTAGGTCCAGAGAGTTTTTAAATAATAAACAGATCAAGTATTAGGCTTCTTGCTTGTAGTGCAAAACAGTGCAAAATATATAAAATGTAGTTTTAGCCATAGGTTTTAAACAAAAGAATATGTTGTTAACTTAACAGTTTCCAGTCTTCTCACAATGAACAGCAACAGAGCAGCATTTTACACAGAAATACTTCACCCTCGAAACTTCTAGTGGGTGACGCCTTCAGCTTTAATGGAGAGCTGACAAAATGAGTCTGTGACTTTGACCAGAGGGTCTCGCAGTAAAATCACACAACAGTGTTTTTTTCACAGATCAGAGAGTAGGTTTCTCTAAAGCTGACCAACGCTTACTTTAACTTTCGATGGAGAAAAAAAAAAACTTTTGACGGAACACAGCGTATTGCACATGCGTCAGAATACGGCAACACTAAGGCAAGCCTGACGTAGTTAGCTTGTAGCTTCGCTACTTAGCTCTCGAATAAAAGACTTTAACGCCACTTGTGCACAGTTTTCAACTAAAAAAAAGTAACTATTAAACTGACAACTTTGATTTTACACTTGAACACCACTTGTGCACAGTTTTCAACAAAAAGTAATGATTAAACTGACAACTTTGATTTTACATCAGACACAGCATTACTGTGGTTTGCCGGTAGAAGACAGATCTCTATCGTAGGCTAAATTTCTATTGTTTCTACCGTATACTGTTTATATCACACATTCCTAGTTCATGGCATGTTAAACTGCTCTTGGCCATGCACATTACTTTGTCACCCACCTCCACCCACATCGTACCCTCACTGGCAGCTGCTCCAAGGTTTATGATTTCTCTCCTGGAGTACTCTTTAAAAATAAAGATTTTAAATAATTCTCTTTCATCAGTGGAGCTTTTAGAAATGTATGTTTGCCCTTGATGTTTTCTATCAAAGGAGAACATCTGTGCAGGTGTTCAAATACAGCTGTAGTGCTCAGGATGGATTGGCCAACCATGGACAAAAATTTGTCAGGCAAGGCAAGCGAAGTCCATCCGGATTCCTGAAATATTAACAAATTTAAACTATATTATTGCAAAATTTTGTCTCCCAGTTTGCAAATTGGGGTGCAAATCTCAGTGTCTGGTAAGCTGATTCAATTCGGATTTTTGGTGTCCCGATCTATTTTTCGATTCGGAAACAATTTTCGATTCAGAAACTATTTTTCTATTGAAATGGTCATACATTTTGTTTCAATATGTAGGTGACAAGCTGAAAAGATTAAACTACAATGTAAACCAATAGACAATTTATTTAAAAATCATTTTAGGTTCTTTACTGTATCAAATATTTTTTATTAATTTTATATTTATACCAAAAATAAGAAAAAAATATAGGAGTGCATAAAATTCTGTAACTTAAATTACCAGTATTAGGTTAGCTTAGTTGCCTGAATTAAAAATAAATAAATAAATAAAAAATCTAGGAACAAATTATTCATCCATTCATCATCTTTACCTACTTCTTCCTTTTCGAGTCACTGGTGCCCATATCGGCTATCACTGTGTGAGAGGCGGGGGACAACTGGTCTCCAATCCATCACAGACAAATAATTCAAAATATATAAATACAAAAGTAAACAGACTTCAGCCTACCATAGTATATTAACCTTTAGCTCAACATAAAATACAGACTTCAGTTATATTTAACCATATTCAGGGTTTCCCCTAGTTAACTTGCCATAGTGGGGTGCTCAACCAAGATTTTTGTTGATGGGGGGACGGAGACGGAGATTTCCTAATGCTTTAGGACTTTCACTTGGTTGTCCATCGGGCGACCTTGAGGCAAGATCTGGTTGTCCGATACAAAAATAGGCTGTCTCGGGCCTATGGGCAGATTGTTAAATTATGTTTAGCAGCTGACACAGTGGGTATGTTTACATGGACATAAGTAACTGGATCAAATGGCCGGTCGGAATAAAAGTGTGTCATGTAAACACGCCGTTCGGGTTATTTTTTGTGTATTCGGCACGATCCGTTATAATTTGTGATCAGAACGAAACGGGTGGCTTACGCCGATCCGAAACCCGATCGGTGCGCATGTAAACGCTTGATCTGTTCGTTTTTATCTGATGGTGAAAAACTGACCTGACTGCGCATGTGCGACTTTGCCATTTCCGCCTG